AGGCTAGGGTGGAGGGGTTGGGGGCATTAGGGAGAGGTTTTGTGGTGTGCAGGGGGCATTAAGGAGTTTAGGGGGGATTTGGAGTCATTAAGGAGGTTGGGGTGGTTATGGGGGGCTGGAGCATTGGGAGTAGCATTTGAGGGGCTGGAGCTATGGGGAGAAGGGATGGGGCATTGTGGGGGCAGGCTAAGTTTGCAGGTGGCTACTGGGAGAGAAGCGTTGGTGGCCTTGAGAGCATGGCAGACGGGGGCCTGACTTGATCTTGCAGGTGTAGGGATTGGTGAGTCCCGCTGGAGGAGGGGGTGTGGGAGGCTGCGATGGACTGGGGGCAGGTTTGGGGACTTTGGGGATGGGCTGGTCTGGGGAGAGTGGGCTTGGGGTGGTGTTACTGTGGGGAGCCAAGTCTGGGTCTGGTTTGGGGGGGATGGGTGTGGGGATTCCTTGGAAGTAGGGAAAAAGGCTTGTGAAAGGTAGGAAAGGGGAATTGGGGTAGCAGAGTTTTGGGAACGGTTGAGGGACTGTGAAGAGGAAGGAGGTTGTGCATTTGTGTGAGCACCTGCTGGGTGGCTTGTGGGGAACTGCTTGAGGGTATGAAGGCAATAACATTCTCTGAGTTTCAGAAATATGGAGGATAGAGCTTGACAAGCGATGGGGCGTGGGGACTTGCTAGGTGATAGTGTTGGCTCTACAGAAGCTCAGGTATTGGTAGGTTCCTAGAGCTCTATTTCCCTTTAAAGACTTGTATGTGTGTGTGTATTAGGCTACAGTGCATTATCTGAATTGTCTGAATATCACAAACTTCAGGAACTGAAGTGCTGGATGTATTCAATAGTTATAGCACAATACATGGAAGCATTCACCAGCGTGAAGTCAGATAATAGGGTAACTGGGACATTGCACGTAGATTGCAGAATTGCACATAAATCACAAACAAACAGTTCGCCAAGCTACTATTAAAGTGCTTATATGTTTGCTATAGTTTTTGCATTTAAAAAAAGGGGGTTGGTATTTTGTACAAGGAGGGAAGAAAAGCATTTTTACTTTTCAGACAATATGCCTGCGAAATGAGAAATTCTGCACTGAGAGAGAGAAATGGAGATCGTTCTGTTTGCTTGAAACACATGAACATGGCTGTTCTGTGCTGGTTATGTTCCCTCTCTGCCTGCGGTTAGAAATTGAATTGGTCATAAGAGGGAAGGAAAAGTGACCTTTTCAAATATTTTTTTACTGAATAAATGAATCTTACTTGTTTAGAAAGAGCTTAGTAATTGTTTATAGCCGGAAGGAATCTAAAAATTCATGGTCAGTAACAAAATACCAAGATGGTAAAAAAAAGCTGAAAGAGAAAATGGTTTCCACTCAAGCCCTTCTCTTTGAGTGATTTTTGTAATCTGAGATCCTGTTTTAGAGTTGTCATGAGAACATCGAGACTCTCTGTGAACATCTGCAAGCTTTTGAGCTCCACTGGGAGATCCAGACGGCATCTGTAATTTGGCGTGTTTGTAGGAGGCATGTCATCCGTTAATTTTTTTCCTCCTCAACATTCGTTCTTGTATTTTTTTTTTTTTTTCAGACCAGATGGAAGCAGGGAGGCCAGTGTTTGCAATAAATTTCCCAAGTACTCAGCAGATACCAGGCAGTTAATAAAAATAACTTAAAACAAAACAATCCGTTACCCTCCTCCCCCTGCCCCCAAGTCCCAAACAGGAATGGAAAAATTCTTAAGACTATATAAAGAATAGAGAAACGGCCAGAGATAATTCTTGGAGTTCTTCCACATACTTCAGAGTTTTAGTCTGCTGTATGGTGTGTTGGGAGCTGGTGTTTACCAGAGCAACCCTTGGTGTTGTAACAACAAAAGCAAGTAAAGAATTGTTTTGTAAATAAAAATAAAAAATCCCTTAACTAAGAGATGAGTATTGCCCAAAAAAGGGTATGCCTTTTTTAGAAGGTGATGTCATGCTTCATGTGTCTGTGTTTAGTGGTGAACGAGTGTTTTCCTTCGGAGTACATGCACTTCTGAACAAAATTTGTTTTAAATGCTTTTGTTAAATATCACCATCTAAAATCAGTGTGAATTTGTTCTGTTTGGTAGGGCTCTAGACCCACCCAATTTTGCATTACCTTTATGTAAAATAGAGCAGGCAAATCCTTGTTACTAATTATGCATGTTTGTAACATAATTCAGATTAGTTCTTGCTGTGTCTGTGTGGGGAAATGCAAAATGAGTACTTGGGCTCATTTTTATGTTGTCTCTGCCTATATGCGTAATATTATCATCCTCTGAACCGTTCTGGTTTTAATCACATAGCGGTTAACTATGTGGCTTTTTTCCTACAGCTTCAGAGGAGCACTCAGTGGGGTGTTTGGGAGCGTGGTGCTGCAGGGATGCGAGTTGTGGTTTCCCAACCAGTTTTAGCAGGGGACGTATCTGTGTTGAAAGATTAACAGTTTGTATCCATGTGTTCCTTATGTAATTATGCCGAGGTTCAGGATTTTGTAATAGCACTGTTTCACCAAAAATTTTTTAAGGAATGCACTGTATTTTAGCTATGCAGAGAGAGAGCTAATTTAACTTGATGGAGTTAAAAAAAAAAAAAAGAAAAAAAAGAAAATAGAGAAACAAAGCCTGTTCCTTGAATATGGATGGGTTTCTACCATGTTAGGGAAGTAAGACAGCTTAGGGTCTATTGAGTGCTGGGCTGTGGCCAACAGTAAGAGGGAAGTGGGACTATGTGGTTGATATGAATAGAAAGGTGGAATAAGTACTTGGGAAGGAAAAGTTGCCAAGGAGAGGAGCGGAGCTGTTGCGTTAACTCACTGGCCTGTGGAGCTTCAGATTGAAGTTACCCCTTTGCGATCGTTCAGCTTGAACTGATGGCAAAAGCATCTGGCCTCACATAGCCGTCTGGCTGCCGTGGTTGTGGCCCAGTAATGGGCTCTGAAAGTAAATTCAGTCTTAAGGCACTGTAGCTTAACATCTGATTTATGCTGAAGTGCCAGACGCTTGCCTTGTCTTTCTGATCAGAGATTGACTGATGGCAGAATATTTATGCTCAAGCTGCTAGTTTTTCCTCCTCCTTCAAATATTGTCATTTTATCAAGTGATAATGTTTTTTTTTGGGGGGGTGGAATAGTAGGCATCCTCAACAACATGCTGCAATTTAAGAAAGTGAAAATACAGAGCTGGTGTTTGTAAATCAGTCTGTTAAACAGAGAATGCGTCAAGGCTGCAGGTCAAACTGGCACCTATGTGTGTAGGTGATGGGCAACCTGTCATGTGATTGCACCCATGGAAGAACTTCACTTCATTTCAAGCCCATTAGCTCTTGCTGAGGTCCAGTCTGTGAGTTGCTTACAGTAAACAAGTATGCCAAAGGACTGCACCATCCCACATGGTTATGGAAAATACCAGTATGAATATTGATGTGCATTCGTAATAAATAGTGCTACTGTTCAGATGTGCTGGAGTGCCAAAGATCCTGAACAAGCTTGTAATTTGGAAACGGCACCAGGTAGTGCCCAACGTTTAGTAAGGAGAGATTCATGTTTGTTCCTACGTGCTTGGAGGTCTCTGAATTGCGGAACTGAATATTATTGTGCATTTAAAGTCAAGAAGCAAAGAATTTGGTCCTGTAAAATGCACACAGAGTTAAAATTTCTTCCTTTACGTCCAGTTTTAATATTTACTACTTACTGTTGCTAAACATGCTAAGTGTTCTTAACATTGGAAGATCTCCTATTTACAGTCAAGTTCCCTATGTTCATTGTAGAGAAATTTTGAAAATAGCTGGAAAACTGTCATGTATTTTAAGGTGGGTGAATGCCATTGCCCTTTGTGAGTGCCAAGCAGTAAAACTGTTTTTTATTTTGGTGAGCTAAGGAAAAAACCTAACAAACTCAGCATGTTATTGTTCAATTTCAAATAAACTGCTTTTGAAATTCTGAGAATCTTTAACTCAGTCTGACTTCTGGTTTCTGTTTTCACAAATTTGTTAAGATGGTGATACTGTCAGACTGTGGGAAATCCAGAGAAATCCTGTACTATAATATAAGCAGATGATAAAATGTTTTTGGTAGGAATTGTGAGGTCAACAAAAGGGCTATGAAAAATAAACTTGATTTTTAGGGGTAGAGTGGAAACATGGTAGCAGCAGCAAGTTAACAAGAAGCAAAATTTGGAAAAAAAACCCCACCTTTTATTTTTCCATTTTATTTATTTATTTATTAAAAATCAAGCACTTAACATTAAACCCAATGTCTGTCATAGGCAGACAGCATGAGTCTATATTCAAGTAATTCCCTGAAGATGAACCTTGTTGACGTGAGGATTTGCAGGAGCTTGCCAGGGGTGTCTCAGATTGTTCCCCATGTTCGCTGCTATCTACCAAAGCTTTACCACGTGTGGGTTTTTAAGACTGCCTAGCCTTTGTGGGGGTGGAGCATAGCATCTGCCAATATGAAGCAAAACATACTGAACACAGTGAAATCATATCCTTTGTCCGCTGAATTGCATGTTAACCCAGACGTTATGGTAAGCCAGCCCATGGGAATCAATCAGGGATCAATGCTAATGTCGTCGCTGAGTTAGTACCACTGGATTACGACGTCAAGAAAAGGAAGCTTGCACACAGAATAAATTCAGCTAGCAGCAAGGAATGCAGAAAAAAGTGACACATTGTGGAAACATAAATTACATAAAAATTAAAATACTGTGTGGCATCATTTTTAAAAAAATGCATTTCTTCTTTCTGATTGAGAAAGGCACAGTTGTTAATATTCTCTTTGTTTGCCAGCATACATGGCTTGCAGCGCTGTGTCTGTTACTAAGTTGTGACAGGATAGACTCTTCTAAAGCAAGGTACTTTGCATAATTAGTATGAAGACATGTGAACAGATGAGCACTAATTCTTAGAAGTTAATGATTGTCAATTATCTTCCCCCCTTTTTTGGATCTAGTCCAAGATTAGCAGAATATCAAGTACTTCAACGTATAGTTTCTTAATTGGCCCAAGAATACTTTCTTGCCAGATGCCACCCCAAAATGTGACTTTGCCTTCTGACCCGCTTTCATCAGCAGTCAGATCAGCGTTATTTTTTTTTAATTCCTGGGCTAGAGTTTGTTTGGATCCGTAAGCTGATCTGACTTGACACATGGCTTCAAGATTGTTAGGGCAGATGCAAAGGCAGTGAGAAGGGCGAGACAGCCCCTTGCAGCACCGTAGGCTCTTCTGCTGGCTTCAGCCAATGCGGAAATCACAGCTACTGTTGGAAAAATTCTCACTTCGCCTACTTCAACTCTGTCTGCTTCTGAAGCAACCTGGTTGTCTGTGGTTATCTCATTCAATATGGTTGGAATAGACCTAGTTTAAGTAGCTTGCAGCTCACGTCTTGTCCAAGTCTCATTGAAGTCCAGGAATTTGGGGGTTCTTTAGAAGGGCTTCATGTAATTGTGTTTATGAACATACCTAATACTGATTTTTCAGGATCAAGCTGCTGTAAAATTTAGTTGTAGTTATGTATGTGAGTGGATCCAGAGCTACATCTTCCAGGAAAGTGTCCTGAAACCCAGAGTATTACACTGTTGCGTGGAGCTTGTTCTTCTCTGCTTCTGTTTGAAATTGTGTTACTGTGGAGAAATGAAAAGGAGTAAAAGTCAGTGCCCTTGCTAGAGCATTTGCTTTGGAGGCGGGAAAAGTCATGGAATTTTGTTCCCAGGACGGTTTCTTTGGTTTTATCAGATGACTGTTTAATGCAAAATGCACTAAAATGCCATCTTTTTTTCCCTGACTTTATACCCAGTTTAGCCTGCATTGTTTAAAAGCATGTAGTAAGAATTCTAATTATTCTCTTCACTATTTCTGAATAACGTCTTTCTTCAGACACAGAAGTCTTCTGTTTTTAATGTCAGCCTTTGAATGTAATGATTTATACACACTTGAAACGATGTTGAAAAGAAACCACTTCTTTAAATAAGGCAAGGAAAAATACTCTGCTGAAGGCTGTTTAATATTAAGATTGAAATAAACATCTCATACATCCCATTATGAAATAATGAACCTTAAATCAAAACTTGAGGGGAAAAAATACCCAGCCTAGAACAAACAGGTAATTACTTTCCTCCTGCATTTCCTCTTCCCCGTTTCGCCCCACAGTTTACTTGAACAGATCAAAAAATACTTTCACGGAGCTCAGGAAACACAAAAATGTTGTGTATTTTGCTTTGTTCTGCTCTGGTCCTGTTGCACAGGCCCTTTATCTTAATTTTTCTTTTCAGGTGATAAATGTATTTGATCAGGTCTCCCTTTTGTCAAAGTTTTGAACGTGAAGTTAGAATTTAAAGATCTTAGGAATAACTTACCTTATATTATAGACTATTTTTTAATAAATAGGAGTATCTTCCCCCACGGTTTCTTACAAGGAGTTTCTGTACTTTGTCAAATCTATTTGCAACTGTTCCTTTCTCTTAAAAGTGATCTGTATAGGGGAAAAATTGATAGCAAAAGATATGTATTCACGCTGTGTTTATAGTGCATAAGAGGTTTTAAAAATGTTTTACAATCCAGACAGACCTGTCTTTGGCTGCAGAATTACTTAAATTTGCCGTGAGAGTAGAAGTTGAACACTAGTAATAGAGGGGGTTTTACATCTTGTTTCTGAGAGGAGTTTATTGAAAAATTTACCTCTTGTGCCTTGAGTTTGGAAGCATTCCTAATTTTTTTTCTGATGACAGTTTCTTTTCCCACTCTGAGCAGAAGTTGGAAGATGCATCCTCTGATAAGGTAAATGTTTTATTAAAAGTCAGTCTGGAAGCTGCTTGTTGTGTCACTGCAGAAGTCCTCAGGCACAGTCCTTTGAGTCTGTCCTTTGGATCGTCTCGGGAAGCAACAGTAGATAAGTTGCGAAGCATTTTTATTTTCATGCAGGCTTTATCTGTACATAAAGTTGCTTCCATTTTCTTGTGTTTCACAGAAGCTCTAGCAATTCTGCTTGCCTGCAGCTGGTTCTTAAATCACTGTGGTCAAATTTGTTTGTACCCATGGTGAAAAATAGTCTAGCAATTTTTTCTACGCTTGATCCTATGACATGGAAAGTATAAAAATACGAGCAGTGTATAGCTTGCCATAGAGTATTCCTCATCTTTCCCCTACCTAGTCCAGGGTCCTGTTTAACGATGGGATGAAAATCTTCCAGAATAAGATATAAAAATCTTAAGATTAGACAGCTGTGAAATTCAGTTTTAGGTTAGGTTTTAAAGAACTAATAATTAAAGTTGCTAAAATGGGCAGCATAAAGTTCAATGTTTCTTTCACAGACTCCATAGCATCACCTACGTGGGCAACAGCATGTGATTAGGTGTCTTTGCTGTCATCAGTGGCTTTAATTTCTGTTTATCTAAGACTAGATCAAAATATCTGTTCATGCATACAGTGGACTGTGATACAGTGCAGCGTATAATATGAATTGGGAAGTTTCAGGCAAAAAGAATAATTGAGGGATTCAGAACTCAAATAGGCAACCTAAAACCAGGAAAAAATAAAACTAAAGTGTTTTGCACTGATTTTGTACTTGCTATGAAAGTATCTTCAAGTGTTGTCTCTCTTCCGTAGTGGATGTTCGAATTGCACTTAGATTAGCTATAATGTAAACCTTTCGCATGCATTCTCTTTCAGAGAAAGTAGAGCATGGTAATTGTAGTATTACTTGAAAAGATCTATTTGCTTTTTACTTGGCTTAAGTAACTATGAAAATAGGAATTCTTGTTTATTTGAGCAGATCATAAATTTATCTCTGTTGCAGCGTTGCTGTAAGAGACATTTGTTTCCTAGAGCTGAATAGCTCATAGCTATATGAACAAGACTATAAACAAGAAAACACATTCAGTAATATCAGCAGTGAAATGTCTTGCCTTCTATCTGTATTAAAGCAAGCTCACCAAATGTTGCGTAGGAGCAAAATTATGTTGCTCTCTGTGGCTATTGTAGCTGAGTTTTTTTGCCTGGCTTAAAGGTGCACGTGGGACAACTAAATTAAATTTTGTATAGTAAACAATTAATTTTGATCATGAAAATCTTGGCAAGACTTGGTATTGTTTCATTTCTTTTTCATGCAGACTATCAAAGATGATACTTTAGGCTTATAGTTTTCCCTAACTGTTCATTTTAGAAGAAAATCATAGGCTTAATATAGAAGTCATGAGAGAGGTAACATGCGTGAAAAGGATCTAGGTATTTCTTTGGGTATAGAAGGGAAATATTTCCTGCTCTTATGATTTGCATTAAATATTATACACTTAGTTGTTTTGAGCTATGGTTTACTTTCTGACCAGAAACCCACCAGTGTAAGTTCAATTTGTTAGTTTGTCTTGCAGAAAAAAAAAATCTTTGTTAAAAAGTGACACTCTTCTGGAGTTCAGCTTTTGTTATGCTAAATGAGAGTATTGGCTATATATTTTTCCTTTATGGACTAAGTAAAATTCTGGAGAGTAATGCCAGATGCATGGAAGAACTGGAGTACCTGAAGTTTAAATTACAAGAGAAGATCTTCTGATCAGGAGCTGTCTATCTCAGAGTGCTCACTAAAATTGTTTTTTCTGTCCAAAATTTCCCTCGGTTCCACATTTATGCTTATTATGTGCTTGTTTTAATGACAGGGTGACCCACTTGAGTCTTTGTGATACTAGTAAGCAAAAGCATCACTGGGACACTGCAGATAGCATGACATTGATGCTTTATTAACTGAGGACATCGTAGAATCATAGAAAGGTTTGGGTGGGAAGGGACCTCACAGCCCATCCAGTTCCACCCCCCTGCTGTGGGCAAGGACACTGTCCACTAGCCCAGGTTGCCCAAAGCCCCATCCAACCTGGCCTTGAACACTGCCAGGGAGCCAGGGGCAGCCACAGCTTCTCTGGGCACCCTGGGCCAGGGCCTCAGCACCCTCACAGGGAAGGATTTCTGCCTCCCATCCCATCTCCATCTGCCCTCCTGCAGCTTCAGGCCATTCCCCTTGGCCTGTCACTCCCTGCCCTTGTCACCGGTCCCTCTCCAGCTTTCCAGACACGGATGAGACCCTGCAGGTTTACAAGAGGAGGCAGAGTTCTCTGCGCCTTCCCTGCTTCTTTCCTACGTGAATATCATGCTTTTCACTTTGATCTTGTAAGAGGCCTGGGATGTGTCCGTATTACGTAGTTACAAAGGGTAGAAGTGGTCTGATGGTGCTGGAGGTGCTGAAACTCATCTTTTCCTTTTGGGGTGTAGAAACTACTTCAGTCCCTTCCCTTGTCAGCTTTCTACTTGGACATTGCCTGCCCAGTGTTGCTTTGCTCTCTACCTCTCTGGTAGAGAAAGGAGTGTTGCTGGCTTGCTGAGAGCAAACCTGAACAGCAATTTTTGCTAGAGCTTAGAGATGAACAGGGCACTTGGTTAGAAGGGTTAGTTATCACTTCTAGTCTTCTCTCAGGGCTTTGCACTTCATCTTTTAGTGGGCAAAAATAAATAATCTGGGGATGGTTTGAAAGGAAGTCTAAATGTATCTCAAAGAAAAGATACCAATGTTGAAGTGTGTCCACTTAATTTATATAGTAAAAAAAGCTAGGTCAACTCTTTAGCCTGCCAAATGTGAGCGCTTCAAAACACTGACCTTAAGGACAAATTCTCTTTCTTTTGCAGTTGCAGCCGCCTTCGAAACATTCAGAGTATCCTGACACAGAGCAGCAAATCTCAACCTGATGGAATCCTTTGCATTTTGGGTTAGTTCTACTTCTCCTTCCCCCCTCCTTTTGTTCTCACTGTACTGATAAAGATACCATGAGTTTCATAAAAATGAAGATCGTCGCCTTCCTGCCGCACACCCCAGCCCTGTTTCTCAGGGAACGGACAGCTCTCTGATTGTTACACTCTTTTTCTCACTAAATAATTCTTAAGCCTGTTTACCAATTTCAGGCAAACTTGCTACAACAGTAATAATATCAACATTCTTGCAAGCTTTATGAAAATTCAGTGGCTGGAGGGAACAGAGAATCTTTGTTAATGCCTAAATTGAAGGAAAGATGGAGATCATTTAATCCATGTCTATTTGGAGTAAACATTCAGCTGTCTAGGCAATGTTGGCTTTCTAGCTGGTGCTTGGTAGAAAAGCTCAAGGCTGAAGGCATGTGTGTTGCAGCTCATTCCCCCGTGGAGATGGGGAAGTGGAAGGGATTAGAAGGTGCTGAAATGAAGGGAGTGGAGAAGAGCAGAGGAGTACCAAGGCTAGGGATCGTGATATGCAGAGGGGTTGAGCACAGGGTTGGCCTTCAAGATATGCAGGGAAGGAGGGGAATGTCTGTCAGTTTTCTGATTTAATAAAACCCGAATTTAGGGGGAGGGAGGTCTTGCCTCAGGAGAAGAAATCAAAATGCATTTAAAGAGTCATATGAGAAACCCGGGAAGCAGTTACAAGCTAAATGGTGGCATATAACCAGCATGTGGTTTCAGTGCTTTATTTCTTTTGTGGTTGGGAGAAAAGGGCAATATGAAATAAAGCTGCATGTGCAGGTATACTGTGGGAAAGTAACAGGGTTTTTGTACTGCTTTAATATAATTTCTGTATGTAACATTGACTCTTGCTTCTTATTCTATAATCAGTATCAAGATATTGAAGGAAAAAAATCCGAAATGATTACTGAAATTCCTTAGAGAAAAGGACTTAAGGAGCAATTGTTTAAATAATGTATTACAGTTAAAGATGGAGAAATCTAATGTAGCCCTAAAGAAGCTATTTGTAGTAACAGGCTTGCATTAAGTAATGATACAACAGCCTGGTTTTTTAGGGGTTTTTTGTTTGTTTTAAACGATGTAGCAAGAAAACCTGAACAAGCGCATTTATTGAACCACAAAAACATTGTAAATGTGTATAGCCTAGTTCTTTCTTGGTCGATGCTAACTGCGTAACATGACTCTTCTCATCCCACATTCTCTAGGGTAAGAGTTTAAGAAATCTTTGGCTAAGTAGTAACTTCACAGCTAGAAGGTCTATAAGGTCACTGTGTCAACCTTCCAGTGAAACTTAATCATCCAGGATAATGTACTTGCTTTTTGCCTTTGATGCTAGTGTAATTTCATAAAATACGTCAAGTTGTGCCATCTCGCCATTGACGCCGTAGTATTTTATGTCTATTGTTAACTCTGAAGCTGCAGTAAGTCCCAAGCAAAGCATAGTCACTCAAAACGTTGTACAGCTTTAGGGAAAGCATTACAGGCAAAGGAATTACTTTGTGTAATCCTCAGCGTAATGTGGAGTATTTAAGTCCATGCATAAGACCATACCTCTTAATAAATAAGAATTTCTGTTACGGAAATATAGGAAGTGTGTTTTGTTATTAGACTTGTGCTTTGCACTAATCTCTTTCTGCACCCATAATGGCACTGTTGTTGTCTAATCTGACCTGTTGAATGTAGCCTGCCAAATTTCTCACATAACTTCTGATTAAGCAGGCATGTCATTCTGTTATAAATGCATTAAATCTGTCTTTAACTACAAGGTTCAGATGACAAAAAATATGTAGTCTTACACTGAGTCCTGTTGACTTGTATGGAAAGCAGATACTCTTATGGTTTGGTTTGTTTTGTTTTGTTTTTTGCAGTTGGTGCATATTATATTTCACTTGGCTTTAATGACCTGGAGTTAATCATTTCCCTCACCCCAACTTTAATTTTACATACTGGGCTGTGAGATAAAAACAACATAAACTTTCATAGCTTTGCTTGAAATAGATTAATACTTATACTAAAATAAAAACAATTTTGTGAGATTCCAAAGAGAGATGAGAACTGACTAATTATTGATACAATTATTTAAATGTAGTTACAGCTGATTTTTTTAAAAAAGAATCCCTTCATCTTATTTTAACATGGTTGAATTATAGCATTCCTGTGTTCTTTGCCAGGGAGAAGAGACATCACAACTGACACGAAAAGAAATTTGGAGGTTGCAGTGTCAGATGTCTTTAAAAAGCTGTGATGTCTCAGCTGGAGTGTGTTGCTGTTAAAGTTGCTAAGAAAACTGTATATCAAACTACCTAAATGATACTGTAAACTATTTTATTTTTTTTTAATAGTGGTGATTCTTGCATCTTACCTTTCAACAGAGATTTTCAGCTCATGGTTAAGTTGATCTGATTTCTGAGGATACATATTTAGTTTCAGTAGGGTGTGTCTATAAATCTGACTGTAGTTGTAGCTGTTCTGATGGTAGATCAAACTGTTTCACAGTTATGCATAGCTAAGCTAAATTTTTATACCTTGATATTTACTTTTTATCCACCTTGAAGAGGACAGGAATACTTCAGAAGCTGTGCCAGGGAATCTTTATTTCATCTTGGTTTTGTTCAAGTATTACTACTTTTTTAGATCTCTCCTTCCC